TCCCCATACCATTGTCATCGAATGAAGCTAGATATGTATTGTCCTCTAGCTTGACACAGGTTGAATACTTGCTCGAACAAAGTGGAATGTCTCTCATACACGACTCGGATGAACACAAGATGACCCAAAGTAGGGGAATTCGAAGGGAACTGATACTCGCATGCTGTTAGAAATCGTGGGAAGAATGTTCCTTGATTGATCGCTCCTACTTTCATGGAGAAGTCGGCTCAAGGCCTCAACCCAGCTCTCAAGTCTTATCCGCCGATATGCAGTTATCAGCTTGCTTACATAATCTAATGTGGTCGAAGATTGATCGTATATTTGGGCTGCTATTCTGACAACTTTTTTAATCTTAGAACATACCTTAGTGCTCGAATTATCTCACTTATGTCCTTCCCGTGTAGTCCGCACCCCTTATAGGACAAGAAGAGCAGAAACGGTTCGGGACTGCTTTACTATCAGAGGACCTAGGAACAGCCGAGCCCGTTTCCGGTCCTTGCCGTGCTAAGTCTGTCCTACGCAGTATATCAGGCAGGTTGATACTTGGCCCGTTGTTCCTCGACTCTATGCCATTCCACTACTTGCCATGCAGACCACAGACATGGACACTGGAGACCCTGTAGTCGTGACGGTGGCTTTCGGCATCTCATTCGATGGTCATGTAGGCCAAGGCACACTTCTTCTTTCTCAGATTACAGAACCTTCCTCGCCTACTCAAGTTCTGGTCACCGCCGGAGCCGGGAAAAATTTGCCAACCCTGACGTCATCGTCATCGGAGCTTCGTCAAACCACTTGGAGAGGAGCAGAGGACGGAAGCTCACAGGTCGACGACCCGTCGATGCCAAGCTCTGTCCTCGACGCTTCTGATGTCGCTCGCTTCTCTCCACTCTCACCTGCGCCACCCTTGTCAAACAAGGTTCCATATCCATACCCAAACTCGACGCAGAGTGTTCTTTGGGGCACTGGAACAGGGTCTTTCGTCGGGGGCACTGCCTTCCCAACAGTAATGCTAGGCGACCCTGTCCACGTAACAAGTACCGGGCATGACTTGTCAACATCGCTGTCCTTACTGCTGTGTGGAGTTTCACTCTGTCTGAGCATTGATTTCTTTCGAAGGTAATATAAGATCTACGTTAGCTATGTCATATATCGATAGATTTACAATTTGATCATGAGATAATTGGCATATGAAACAAACAATATTAAAGTCACTCATATCGAGCTGAAACACCTATAAGCTCCTAGTCGGACCTCCTATATCATGACTTGACGTTCACTTAGTTAACGTTGACGATGAAGCGGTTTCTGAATGGGCACGAGACCTAGCTGAATTTGGAAACCTACGTCGAATTCGGACACAAAAGGCATCAAAGCACAATGCAACAGGCTATCTTAGGCTGAACTACATTATGCAGCTATACAGCTCTTAGATAATTACGATAGGGACGTGTCTGTAGATAACTATGAATGCCATCACCGACAGTCTCAGATAAGCCCGAGGTTAAACCGATGCTGTCTCCCTTCTGCTATAGTCTCCGTTCCGAACCGTCGTCCTCTTGCTGCTTGCAACTGCCTGAGTTCAAAGGACCAGTCCTGGAACTGCTCGAGATACGTTTTTACGCCATCGAGATCCCTTCGTGTACCATCAGCCCATGAGACCTCATGCGGGGACAGGTAGAGCACAGTCAACTTACCACCGGAGCGCCGTGTTCTGCTCCGTGAGCCGGCCGATCTGCTTTGATGCAGAATCCATCTGCTTTTCGAGTCGCGAGTTGCTTTGCTGTAGCAACTCTCTGCTTCCCTCTAGCGCAATTACTTTCTCCTCCAGGCAGTCAATCCTGCCTTAATAGGAACCTGACTTCTTTTCCAAGTCAAATGCTCGAGCATCCAGCCGAGTAGAACAGAGCTGGAGCTAATCTGTCCAATACAAGATCCAAGTTCGGCTCAAAGGAGTATTTATTGACGTTAGCGAACAAGTCGGAGGAATCAGCTGTCATCTGTTCAGACCCTAGGTTGTTTCGATATAAGATCGCCGGTGTAGGGCTCGAAGGAAAGGTCCATTCTCCCAAGTAGCATTAGGGCTGTCAGGGCCACCAGCGTAGAGTGCAACTTCGCTCTCTGGAGGCGTGATGCTGTAGATACTCATACCCGGACGGCAAGACTGGTCATCCATCGTTGTACGAAGTATCTCCCAAGCAGCCCTCTAGCTTAACCAAACAGGTTTTATACTATACATTACTTAGAATCATCCTTGCGCAGTTATCGTCGAACATGCTTCGTGGTCTATGCTAACGATGTGCTACCAAAAAAAGATTACGATTTCAAAGGCGTCCGCGTGCAATACAGTATGATGCTATATTTAGCAAACTTGACCCAGTTTCGGGGACCCAGGCGTATACTTGGATCAAGCATACGGCTGAGGACTTCCTTCGCACGACCGGTAACGGAATCTCAGACATTGGACGATCTGTCTATCTCGCACACGCACAAAAGTCTATTCAATGCTGTATGG